CCCAGGCTGATGTCAAACTCAATATGTAGCCAAGGATGACCTTGAATTCCTGATCCTCCTGCCTCCAACTCCCAAATGCTGGGATTACAGGTGTGTACCACCATATCCAGAGAATTTCATTCTGTTTTTTAAGGCTAAATAACATTTCATCATGTGTATACATTGCATTTTAGTTAATCACTCATTTGTTCCTAGAATCCTCGAGATCCTTGAATAGTTGTGCTTCTCTGCCTGTCTGGTTTCTTTTTTTTCTTTTTCTGTCTGGTTTTTTATGTTGTTTGTTTGTTTGTTTGTTGAAACAGCAGTCTCTCTACATATCCCGGACTGGTCTGGAAGGCCATATGTAGCCCAGCGGGCCTTGACCCAGCAATACTCCCGCTTCTGCTGGCTCAGGGCTGGGATGGCAGGTGTGCAGTGCTATGCTCAGCTGCCTTTTGAAAAAACTAACATTACTGAGGCAAGATTTCCTCTGAACAAACTGCATCCACTTGCAGTGAACCGTCTATGAGTTGTGGCAGATTATACACCTATAAAATTGCTGTCTCAGTTACGATCACCTTTGATCATTTCCGAAAGATTTGGATTGACTGGGCCGCAACCATTTTGTGACAGGCTTGACTGGAGCTCATGAAGCAGATGCTGTGCATTGCCTACTCCATGCTCCCTTCTTCATCCTCGCTGAACCCCAGTTATGTGGAAGTATTCAACACAACACTTTGTAAAGTTCTGCACTCCAGGGAAAGTTCTAGCCTTGAGATCCTACGCTAAGTGCTGTGCCTTCATGCCTCTTCTGAGTGACTTCTTTTAGGGCAATGTGCAGGCCACTTCCCGACCTTCAGAGGCAAGGAGATGTCGTCTCCAAAGGTTGTCATCTTAAGAAGAGCCATGAAGAGGTGACACTTTTCGTCTTTGAAATATTGTCCAGAGAAATATACAAACTTTAAAATAATGTGGGTTTTGTTTTAGATTGTTCAGAGAGAGCCCAAGACTTAGTAATCTTTCCATCCTATACTTCAATGTCTTGTTTGCAATGACTTTAATGGTGAGTGACCCAGAAACGCCACTAGATGTCATCCTGGCTTCATAGTTCAGAGATGTTGAAGCAGTTAAAAACAACAAAACCAAAATCCAATACTTTGAAAATGAGTTAGGCCAGGCAGTGGCGGCGCAAGCCTTTAATCCGAGCACTTGGGAGGCAGAGCCAGGTGGATCTCTGTGAGTTCAAGGCCAGCCTGGTCTACAAAGCGAGATCCAGGACAGGCACCAAAACACCAGAGAAACCCTGTCTCGAGAGAAAAAAAAAAAAAAAAAAAGAAAAGAAAATGAGTTAGAAGCACTGTCTTTAATCCCAGCGTTTGGGGGGGTGGGGGTGGGAACTAGATCTCTGTGAGTTTGAGGCCAGCCTGTTCTACATATCTCTCTTCAGGCCAGCCAGGCCATCTAGCGAGACCTTGCCTCAATAAAACAAAAAAGAATGGAAAGCATATTAGAAATGTGAGCAAAAATGGGACTGTAGCTTGATCACAGAGCTTTTGTCCAGCGTGTGCAAGGTCCTTGGTTAGATATCACACACACACACACACACACACACACACACACACACACACACACACACATACACACACATACACACTAGTAGAGGATACTATGTAAAATTAAAATCAATACGAGAAAACTTCACCAAGAACAAACTTGGTTTTCTTTACACAGTGTTAACAAATAGAGAGACCTGTGGTTTCCAGGATGTCACAACTGTGCCTAGGCAAATGGCATCTGAAAGAGTTGAGCGTGGGAATGCCAGGCGGGGAGCAAGGTGTTGTGATTGTTTCTCCTCTGTGGACACAGTATGAGATTTGAAAGAAAGAACTTGATTAGAAACAGAATTTGTCAAATATACACTGAAAGTCCAGTTGCCACCTGATTGGATGTGCTGTTAGGAAAGGACTTTCTGTTGCTAGAGTAGAGGCAACTCTAAGCTAGAGGCAGAAGGAGGGGGCAGTAGAAGCTGAGAAAAGAGGTGGTGATGATTTTTTCCGAGACCTTTCTTTCAAGCCAGGAAGAAGCTGGTTGGGTTCCGTTGTGCATGGCAGCGACCATGGATGGTTTGCTGGGGGACAGCATTTATGGAGATAGAGAGATGGTTAAGGTTCTTGCCTTCAAACCTGGCAGACGACCTGAATTTGATCCCTGAGACACCCCCATAAGTTGTCTGTCCTCTGATCTCCACAGGCTCACCATGGCTGCCAGGTCAAGTTACCTCTACAGCAAGATGACTTGGGAAGACCTTGTGAAATGCAGGGGGGAAAGCCACACTATAGCGTGTGTGTGTGTGTGTGTGTGTGTGTGTGTGTGTGTGTGTGTGTGTGCACGCGTGTGTGTGTGTGTGTTTGCATGTATCCTTGGGGTGCACATGCCAAGTTGCTCATGTGGAGGTCAAAGGTCAATGTTAAATGCCACTGCTTGCCTACTACCTTGCTTGAGACAGGGTCTCTGGCCACTGCTTCATACAATTGGCTAGTGGAGGGGGGAGGGAGGAGAGGTGGCTGGCCCAGCAGTTAAGAGCACTGGCTACTCTTCCACATGACCCGAGTTCAATCCCAGCACCCACATGGCGGCTCCCAGTTGTCTGTAACTCCAGTTTCGGGGAATCCAATGCCCTGACACAGACATACATGCAGGAAAAACAATTGGCTAGCTGGCCTGTGAGCTTCCTAGCTGACTTACAAGCTTCTGTGTTCTCCATCACATCTTCGGTCTTCCCGTAGGAGAACAGGGATTACAGACACCGGCACCCCTATGACCGGCTTTCACACAGGTTCAGGGGATTTGAACTCACTGGCACAGCAGTCCTTAACCCATTGAGCCATCACCCCACCCCACTGTTTGATTTATTTTTGAGACATACTATTGCTATATTACTAAGGCTGAACTGCATCAGAACTCACAGTCCTCCAGCCTGAGCCTCTAGAGTAGATGGGACCATAGGCACTCACCACCGTGCCCAGCTCTCCTTTTACTCTTTACTTAAAAATTAAGCTGCCAAAGGAAATATCAGTTAAAAATCACCTAAATTACCCTTCAAGGATTTACCACTTCCATTTGGCATGCCTATGTTTCCATTCGAATGCTACCATTATATAAAAATGATACACTTCTTTTTCCTGGCATTGGGCCCTTCGAGGAGCTTCTACTGCAAATAAAAGAACACATGCCCTGTGCTCTACATTAAATGTTAGTCTTTTGAGGAGGGAGGGTGGTAGGGTCTCACATGCCCAGGCTGGCCTGAACGCTCTGTAGCTATGGATGACCTTGACCTTCAGATGCTGCTGATGCAGTGCTACCTCGGGCTTCCTGTAGGCCAACCAAGCACCCTACCAACTGAGCTACCAACCCCTCAGCCTCAGCATCACAGTCGTTTTAGTTTATGTATCTATTTATTGTGTGTATACGCATCCGTGTGTGTGTGTGTGTGTGTGTGTGTGTGTGTGTGTGTGTGTGTGTGGAGTTTGGGGGCACTTGTGCCATGGTGTGCATGCGGAGGTCAGAAGATAACTTTGCGGATTCAGTTCTAGCTTTCCGCCTTCCTGAGCTGGGGTCTTCTGATGTGTCTGGGGCTGCGCTGTGTACTCCAGGCTATCTGGACCTTGAACTTCCAGGCCGTTCTCCTGCATGGGCCTCCCACCTTAATGCGGGCGTATTGAGATTACAGATGGGAACCAATGTGTCTGGCTTTTTATACAGGCTCCAGGAACGGGCGGTTAGGCTTACACAGCTTGTGTGCTTTACCTACTAAGCCATTTAGTGGGCCCACTTCTCCGCTATCCTATAATATTCCAGTCTTGCTTCTCGGTATCTACTTTTCATTATGTATAAGTGAAAACACCAAAATCATATTGTTTTCACATATAAACTATAGTTTTTAACTTCAGTCTCCAAAAATAAAATCCATCTTATCACAAATTTAAATAGAAAAACTTTGGGTAAACATATTCCTTGAAAAGAATTCTAATTTGTTCCAATGATTTTAGATTCTGGACAAGACAAAAAGCTATCATATACTGCTCAAATTCTGAGTGGAAAATAATGTTAATTGTCATATAGTATTATTACAAAGTAACATTGATAACCCGAAGTCAGTAACATTCAGCCGTGAGTGTACAGAACAGTGAGAAACAGGCTATCTTGGGGTCGACCACAGTCAAAGGCAGAAAAGGTCTTCTTCAGTTTGCATAGTGAAGCAATTTCACCAGAGAGCCTGGTCCTATGTAGCCTGTGGCATAGTCTTCTAATGAAATCAACAAAGCTCTGGACAATTGAATGTTCGCCCAAATCGCTTAGGCACAGTTTCTCCGACTTGGCTGCCCAGCAGAAGTGCCGAGAGGAATTTTCAAAATACCAACGCCTGCCCGAAGTTCTGCCTTAATTAGCAAGAGGCGGGGCTCTTCTGGTAACTATTTCTAGCCATCTGTACTGTATTTTCAGCTTCCTCGGTGTTATCGTCTGTAGGCCAGCTCTCATCGCCAGGTCTTTGTGGCTGAATTCTGCAGAGCGCGCTCCTTGCGCCCCAAGGTCGCGCTGCTGCTGCTGCTGCTGCTGGCCTTTGCCATCCGCTGCGGCTGCAGAGGGACCGACCATCGCTAAAAATGCCAAAGAAAAGAGGCGCGATGCCTTGCTGAGATTTGGGGATGGCTTCCCCCGCCCTCCACTAAGAATTTACGCGTCCCAACCCCCCACTTCCCTCTTGCAAACCTCCCCGAACCCGGGAAGCAAACGATGAACTTAATGCTTGACTAAAAAAAAAAAAAAAAAAAAAACGGGTACAAAGTTTTCTGCACAGCCTCTCCGCCCCCGGGGACACGATCGAAAATTCCGAAGGCAACAGGAGCGCCACTAGCGCCCGCTTTCTTTAAGCGCGGTTTCTGCGGAGGGCGGAGGCTATTGTCATGGTAAATTTCACTCGTTGAGGAAGAAAGGGTGGATGATCGATCAAAAAGGAGGTACTCCTTTGCGGTTCTGCCGCTTTCTGCCTGCACCGCGGCGTGAAAGGCTTTTTTACTTTTCTCGGTAAAAAAACAAAACAAAACAAAACACAGAAAAGGCTGTGGCGCGTGTGCGAGCCTACAGCAGTCTGCGGTGAGCCTGGAGGACGTCCGTGCGAACGCCGTGGGCAGACCCCACTGGGACTTCCGCGAGAGCCCCCGAATTCCAGCAGGTCTACCCGGAGAAGCACGGCCGGCCCGGTCCCCGGTCCGCATCCCCCGGGAGCCGCGAGCCACGCCGCCGCCCCGGCTGCGAAGGTTTCTCCCCGCCTGCGGGTGGCGCGCTGGCTGATCTCACCCCAGCAGGGAAGCTCGGCTCGCCTCCATCTGGGTCCGGCACTTTAAAAGCGGAAGCCGACTTGAGCATGTGTCGGGCGTGATGAGGACCCCCGAGAACTTGGAGGAGCCTAGCTCCACGCCAAACCCCGGCAGGACCCCCCAGGAGAGGTTCGTTTATCTGGAAGCGCTCCTGGAGGGAGGGGCTCCCTGGGGCTTCACCCTGAAAGGTGGCCTGGAGCATGGAGAACCGTTAATCATTTCCAAGGTACGTTTTCTGCTCAGTGTTGTCTTCCACGAACTTGTGTTTTGTTTGCAACTCCCGAAGTTGCGTCAGATTTGTCGGAAACTGGAAAAAAAAAAAAAAAAATCCCGGGCATTGCCTGAATACCACTTACTACTTATTTTGTTGTCTCGTGCATTTCTGATGATCTGGAAAAGTTTTTGGATAGCTTGGTGTTTGGAAGAAAACTGTGTCTAGCTCGTTTGTTCTGTGAAAGCCCCAGGAAAGTATGCTCATTTGATGGCTAATCCTCTCTTCTTTTGTGTATGAAATGCTAGATCGGTTCCCACATGAGCCTTCTGTTATAAACCAGGTTCAAGATAAGCAACGTTGGAAGGTCGTGGCATCCATAGTTCACGGTCAGGAAGACCTCTCGCTTCAACCGAAAATACCCAGCTTTAAAATTATTTTAAATGTTCTTATAATTTTAGATCTTCAGCCCAGGTGTGGTGGTGCATACCACCAAACCCGGCAGGAGACACAGAGGCAAGATTTTCAGCCCAGAGCAAGTTAGCAGGACTGTCTCAAAAACCAGCCAAACAAACAAATATTTCTGGAGAATTGCTCGCTTTATACACAGAAGGAATTAAATCGGCTTTTAGTATAGACAAAAACCCTCTTCTGTCCCTCTGTGTATTACACGTCTGATTTTGGAACCAAGTGATCCTGCAGTATGACTCAATCTTCATTGATCTTTTGGTTTTTTAGACTTTAGGCCATGTTTCTCCGATACAGCAGACATTCATATTACTTGCTGTAGTATTTATTTTGAAATTACAATTAGGAACAGTTGAGGGCAATCGGATGTTTAAAGGCTTTTAGGCAATTACATACCCCAAGAAGATATTTATAATTGAGGGAGGAATTCTTTTGAGTTTGAGGGTGGAGGAAGAAATACTGTGTTGAATTTGAACTCTGTTATCTGGTAAGGTCATCACCCCCTCCCCCAACACATCTGTGTGTTTTGTGGAAGACCAGAGTAACCTTAATGTGGGTGAGCCAGGAGGAATTGGTAATGACAGCAATTGACCCTAAGTATGCAGTATACGATGCAAGCTATGTGACCTTCCCAAGGAAAACAGAGGACATATATACATATATGTGTGTATGTATACGTATATATGCATGTATATATCCACTAGGGAGGATCTCAGTTATTGAAAAACTAAAGTCCCATTATCACGGCCCTCAGGAGATTGAAGCTTGTTTTTCTCAAGCTACAAGAGGTCTAGATAGAGGTCAGCTGTTAGGCATGGAAACAGCTTAATCAAATCAAGAATTCCACTTAGATCTTCCATTTGCCATTCTTATCTGTGGCCCTTTTTCCTCATGGCTGCATGGTGAATGCTGCACCTCCAGCATTGCGTCTTCATTCCAGGCAGGTTTGGAGCTTTTTTGCTTTCTCATCAGACTTTTGCTTACTGCTCATTGGCCAGAACTACACTGCATAACTGTCCTGTGGATAGCGAAAGGAAATTAATGACCGTGACTAGTTTAGACTGGCTAGGGTTTCTCTCATGAATTCTGAATAGGGCCCCACCCTTCTAGAAGTCAAAGATTCTTTGCTACTATTTGAAAAAAAAAAAAAGTGGTTCTTTTTATGAATGAAGCAGAGTTGACTGTTGGGTAAACAACTGGAATGCCTATAGCAAATGTGTTTTAAAATGTCTACATCTTAGTCGGATGGTGGTGGTGCACGACTTTAATCCCAGCACTCAGGAGGCAGAGGCAGGTGTATCTCTGTGAGTTCCAGGACAGCCAGGGCTGCACAAAGAAACTGTCTTGAAAAACAAAAATCAAAACAAAAAAAGTCTACATCTTAAACCTGCTTCACAACTTTCCCGACTTTTAATGATAAAATCTATGCATGTATTTATGAGGATGGCAGTGGCTCTTGGAGAGGTCTAATCCCACATCTGCTGGGTTGCTAGAACCTGCTGGTGTCTGCAGGATGTGGGCATAATACTCTTTACCTCAGGGGACCACAAAGAGATTAACTGTGACTATGAATGGAGTAGAATGTCTGCCACAGAGAAAGAGTTTTGCTCTTCTTTATCCTAGGAGACTTTTGTGTTCAGTATGCTAATTAGTTGTCTTGCTTCGGTGACAAAGAATCTGATAGAGTAATTTAAGGGCTTGTACAGGTGCACAGTTTCAGGAATACAGTCTGTTCAGAGAAGGTAGGTGTCATGGTTTGAAAGAAAATGGCTCCCAAAGGGAGTGGCACTATGAGGAAGTGTGGCCTTGTTGGAGTGGATGTGGTCTTATTGGAGGAAGTACATCACTAGGGGATGGGCTTTGAGGTCTCATCTCATACATGCTCAAGGTACTTGCCCAGTGTCTCAGTTCATGTCCTGTTGCCTTTGGATCAAGATGTAGAATTCTCCAGCACCATGTCTGCCGGCATGCCGCCATACTCCCAGCCACCATGCTCCCCCGCCATGATGACAACGGACTAAACTACTGAAAATGTAAGCCCTTGCCTCAGTTAAATGTTTTCCTTTATAAGAGTTGCCTTGGTCATGGTGTCTCTTCACAGCAATAGAAACCCTAACTAAGACAGAAGTTGGTACCAGGGACTGGGGTATTGTTGTGATAGGCCTGACCATGCTTTTGTTTGGAGGAATTTGGACTTTGGTACTTTGAGTTAGGAAAGCAGTGGAATGCTTTAAGCACTGTTTTATGGTCCACACCAGCAGGAACATGGAAGACAGTGGTGCTAAGAGTGATTTGAACTGTCCAGGGCTGGCTTAAGAGGTTTCAGAGGAGAAGAATTTTAGTATGTTGCCTAGAGATCATCCTGTGATATTTTGGTGAAGAAAGTGACTGCTTTTGCCCTTGTCCAAAGAGTCTGCCTGAGGTAAAAGTGAGGAGACTTGGATTAATTCCCTTGGCAAAGGAAATCTCAAAGCTTAGTATTGACTCTTGTGTGGTTATTACTGGTCACTCTTATACAGACTTATAATGAAAAAGAGCAAGAAAATGTAAAATTTGAGGAGAAAAAGAGCATCAGGAAGTGGAATGGAGCTAAATTCTGAGTTCCAGGAGGCTTTAAGATTTGAAATAAGGGAGTAGTGATCATGGGGCAAGATCCCACCCAGCTAAATTTTCAACTTGTGAAAAGGAATTAAAGAAATCTTGGAGCTGAGTGTGGTGGTACACCACTTTAATCCCAGCACTCCAGAGGCAGAGGCTGGCAGGTCTCTGGTTTGAGGTCAGCTTGGTCTACAGAGCAAGTTCCAGAACAGGCAAGCTCAGGCAGTGAAGGTAACCATCGAAAACAGAAAGCTGGAGAAGATGTAATTGAACAAGAGGACCATGTTCCAGCCCCAGTAAGCGGAAGAAGTTGGCAGCTTCTAACCCCAACCCCTTTATCAACTTTTAAAAAACCCTCATGATTTCATTGGGCCTACTAAGATAATGTTCCTATTTGAAAACCAGGTGATTAATAGCTTGAATTCCGTTTGACTCTTCCTTTGCCAGATAGCCTAACACGATCACAAGGTCCAGGGATTGCAATGTGGATGCCTCTGGGAAAAGAGGGTGCTCTTTTACCTACCCCAGGGTGTTTAAGCTTTAGTGAAAGTTTATAGAATGAAGGTAGAACCAGGGAAGAGTCTAGAGCTGTGGTTTTCAACCTTCCTAATGCTGCCGCCCTTTAATACAGTCCCTCATGTTGTGGTGACCCCCCAACCATAAAATTGTTTTCGTTGCTACTTCATAACTGTAATTTTGCTACGGTTACGAATCATAATGTAGACATCTGATTTTCAGGCTGTCTGATATGTGACCCCCTGTGAAAGGGTGTGGCCATCCCCGCAGGGGTCGTGACCCACAGTTTGAGAACCACTGGTTTATAGCGAAACTTAGTAGCTGAGGCTGATTTCAGATCTTCTTTCTGAGCCAATGAAAAATGTGCCTTGATGGATTTAGGCACTGCTGAGCAGATGCCCCCATTCTGCAAAGGTAGGGTGGTTCCCTGTGGCAGGGGATGGGATGTGGCAGGGCGCACTGAGTCTCAGGAAAGGCACGTACACAGTGTGCACACAGTTAGAAGCAGCCAGGTTACAGGTGACGGTGTAATGCATGAAGTATCACTTTTCTTTGGGTACAAAACAAGACGGGAAAACGAACGGGGGTGGTGGTGACTACAAAGAGGTGGTAATAAAAGGTCATTTTCTAATTGCTTTCTTTGGGATTTAATGTCCTTGAATAGGAGAGGTGGGGCAGAGAAATGAGCCTCTGCAATCTGTGAGCTTCAAATAGAAAGCGTACCTTTAAAAAAAGCGGTGGTTGTAAGTGGACGCTCAGACAATTCAACAGTTCAGGAAGTTGGCAGCCTGGTTTGATGATGAGTCATCTGCTCAGTGCAGGAGCTGGGAAAAGCAGTTCCACCTGAGGCAGGGGTGCACCTGCTCCCAGGGCTCGTCGTCGCTGAAGAGCGGCAACAGTAACCGCAAGCAGCCGCTGCCGGCGCGGCGGCCGAGAGCCTCCTGTGCTCCGGGCTCTAGCCCAAGACTTCTCCAGGTGTCAATCATTCGAGTCCTATAACCCCACACGAGGAAGGGAATCCTAGTGCCTCAGTGATCTCCATGAGGAAGTGGGGCACGATCCGAGTAACCCTGAGTAGGGTGTGAGCATCCCTCTGAGCCTCACCCCATGTGAGGTGCCATTACGTTATCTATTAGTCCCGGGATGTTAGGTCTGACACAGAGGTGAACAAGGAATGGCTATTTGGGGGGCGGGCCTAAACGTTGCCCAAGATAAAATGTTATTAGACTCTAAACCTGCACCGCTCCATCCTCTCCATCCCCGCCGCTCTCATCCATGCAGCAGGCTTCGGAGACACAGCTTCCTTCCAGGAATTCACATTGGTACGCGATAGAACTGGGGGTGAGGACCCGTGAACGGAGGGGATCACTTACCACTTTGGGAAGTGTTTTCATGGGTCTATTTAGCTGGAGGATTACTGCCTCGGCTTCTAT